GTTTGAAGTACCATTTAGGCCCATTTCAAATTGTACAAGCACTTTCTCCCTGTTCCCCTCCCTTATCCAAATCCACAGATACAAAATTTAGGAAATGTGCAATTTGCATCTTAGAAATAGCAGCATCCCCACAGGGACCTTGTGAGGCCTGGAGACTCAGCCCCAAAGGACCACCCCACTCTTCCACCTCAGCACAACCACAGGCCAAGCCCAAGGCAAGTTTTCTACCCCATTACCAACCGTGACCCAGCTTAACAGCTCCCATTTCACCCAGGCCTAAACAGCAGTCAAGTGTGCCATTTTCTCAGTTTGGTCTCGAACGTGGCTGCAGCAGGAGGTGGGACTCTTGCACAGATCAGTTTTGCTAAAGTTTCAACCTGCCTTTGGACAAACAGGCAGTTGCCTCTGACTAGCACCAAGATCACTTCAGCCATCTCTGGGAAACAGGAAACGCCAAAAGCAAACTGCTCAAGAGTCCTTCCCTGGCCTCGCTTCGGCAGCCCTGCCCACAGGGAACAAAGGCTCTGCACCAAAGACCAGAATACAAATGGGTGGTAGAAAAGCAGGAGTCAGGACTTGCCAAGAAGGAATCTGCAGGCTTTTGGCAACCTCGCTGACTTCCACAAAGGCTACGCTCAGTGAGACTTTCAATCAACAATGGCCAGCAGGGGGAGGGGAAGGTTGGCGTATTTTCTTTCTTTAATAACAATTATGGCACAGTCTGACCCTCCTGACACAGCTGAACAAAGCGGCTGCCAGAGGGGTGCCCACTTCTTCCCTGGCGCTTGCCCAGCTCCCCCATCATCATGCCGGGGTCCCTGTAGAGAGCGGCGCTAGCACACCCAGCTCCTGCCCATGACTTCGAGCGGGCTTAGCAAACTGCACAGCAGGACCTGGGGGTGAGTGGCAACGTCTCTAAACACAAATGACAGAATTAACAGGTACCACATGGGTAGACTCTTACCCTCTAAACAGTGCTTCTGCTCTGGGTTTGACTCTTGGGAAAGACCAAACATGCACAGCTTTCTATAATCAGTGACTGAACAGCCTTTCTCGTGGACACTTCACCTTCCACGCCAGTCCCATTGAGTAATTTTGAATCATTCATCATGGAAAGGAACAGAAGCTAAATTGAAAAGCGTTAACCAAGAAAAGCTCTTCATTATTAATACATTCAAGTGTACACACACACCCACACCCACACCCACACACACACCCACACACACACACCCCAGCCAGTCTCCTGAAGGAAGAGGCACTAACAGCAGGTAAACCCTCAGGCTCCTCTCAGGTACCCTGGCTTGCCACCCACCTGGAGTGGACAGCAGGAAAGATACTAGGCATCCAGAAGAGAAAATGCCACAGTCCCCACCAGCCCTGCTTGCTGTGTCTTCCCCTTCACCTCTCCCCGACTCCTGCCTGAGGAGCAGCAAGGGTCAGGTTCTGAGGGCTGAGAAAGTTTTGGAGCCAGTGACAACAATGCAGTAAGTCTGCATTCTTCCTGAATCCTTGCAGTCCTGCAAACCTGAAGATATTCGAGGTGGGCACTTGCATTTTTCCATATGGCAACTGGGCCTGCCTAGTGCCCGCCCCAGACTTATGAGTCCCCTGTCCTGCCCTGGACTTTGGGACAGCTAGAATGGTTGGCTCCCCTGGGTCTAGGGCTAAAAAGAAAGCCTCTGTCCTCTCCACTCTGGTAAAGGACTGGGTCCCCCATTCAACAGAGAGGCCAAAGGATAGGGCAGGCCCCAGAATGGCTAGTCCTGACAATTGAGCTCAGGACAGAAGAACTAAAGAGCAGGCTCCCCATGCTCTCTAGAGCCAAGTGCTCTGCATTTGCTTCTTTTACTTCACAGTTAAGTGCAGATGCTGCATCAGTAGAGAGCACTGGGGTTTGCCCTCCCTTGCCCTTCCCAGGGACAGATTCCAGCAGAAACAAATTCTAACCAAGGCCTGTTGGTGGCGCCTTTGGGATGTGGAGCTGAGCAGCACTGGTGATGGCCCTGCTCTGCTGTTTCTGGGGATGCTGTGGCTCCCATGACCTCACCAGCCTGGCCCCATTATAAATGGGCCAGAGAAACAGGGAGTGTCAGGCCTCAGACTGAAGCCTAGCTGGGGAAGGGGACTATTTGGGAAAAGGGCTCAGGGTCCACAACTTCCTGCTTTGTCAGGTGTTTCAACTTTTCTAAGGTCAGGAGCCCCCCACCACCACCACCACCACACTAAGACAGCCCCCAAAGCTCTGGGCAGGATGACTGGGAGGGGCCTGTGCTCTTAGGGAAAGAGAGAGAAGGAAGCTGAGTCAAAAGATCCTGAAGAGGGGGCGCTGTGTCTGGAGTGAGGAGAACCGAGCCCGGGCACCTGCCTGACCTAAGTAAGTTGCCGGCTTGGCCAGGGAGAGTTGGCTCTGCAAGCCTTCCTTTGTCTGGAGGATCTTTCTTCTCCAGCGTATGACAGCCTTGCAAATCAGTCTGATACATGACAATCTAAACTTAATACAGAAGTACAGCTTGTACACAAGGTGAGTCAAACCTATAAACTGCCCCAGGTAAACTCTGAACAAGGAAAAGAGGGGAAGAACTTTGGAAAAGCTCAAGCTCCAGGTCTGGTTGTGTTTAAGATTTTCTTCTTGCCTGGTTCTCCTCTCCTTCAAAGTGCCTTGGGCTGTGATGTTTGAACTGATAAAGCTACTCCAGTCAGAGGACTGTGGTCTGAGAAGAGATCAGGAGGACAAGAGACAACAGGGTATGAGACGGGCCGCACAAGCAGGGAGCCGGACATGCTGCGTCTGGAGATGTAAGCACCCTCCCAGAAAGCCTGGTGCTGGTCCTCCACAGAAAGTAGCCATGCGACAGGTGTCCCAGAGCCAGAGGGGGAGGGAGATGCCACAGGCTCTACCACTGGACCACTGACTGAGCAGGATAAAACCTACGAGAGCCACATCTTAGCCAGGAGAATGCACTGAAACTTCCTGGAGGGACAGCCTCCTGTGGCCAGCTGGGGAGGAGACCATCAGTATATGTGGGAGTCCACAAGGGTACCACCCAACACTCTGCCCAACTCCCCCCTTTTGCTTCCAGAGAGCAGGGTGTGGCTCAAGGTACTCTGGTCCCCCTGAACGGCCACCAGTCACTCGGCGAAGAGAAAGGAGCTCTCAGTCACAGTCACTGCCAAACCCCAACGTTCTCGCAAGCCATCTACCTGGGGTCTTCTATTTCAGGGACAGACTTCTGAAAATGAGAAGCTCTCAAATGAAAAAGCTCCTCTAGAGTCAAAAATTAAAACAAGTAATCAAACTATGCAAAGTATATGTATTATAAATCCAGATTTCCTTTATCAGAACGTTGGTCGGGTTTCATCTATTAAAACTGGATCTACAACCGCATGTAAAAAATATGATAAATCAAACATGTACAAGACATAGGCAACAAGAAACACTGAAATATGATTTTACTATCACTGACGAGTCCAAGTGCATACAAAGAAGGGGGAAAGATTAGTCACTTTGTAAAATATGCTTTTCTTCAAGAGACTAATCCCACTCCCACCCCCTCAACTCTGCAGCCCACAGACTACCTTCTACAGAAGGCGATGACTCAGAATTTAACCCTTCGGCTGTGTGCAAAACCACAGTGATTGGTCTGGCCTCCAGGCCACAGGACTGGCTGCTGCTAGAGCTATCCCACCAGCCCCTGCTGCCACCTCGTGGGGCTGTGCTGTTGGTGCGATTCCAATTTCCTGGTTAGTGAGGGCATTCCTATATGTGGGGTTGGCTGCATTCGTGGTTTTGCACCCAAAGCCCTGGGTACCTGCTACAGTATCCCTTAAGTCCTGCATGATGACCCAACTGCCTCCTTCACCGTCACCCTCGATCAGCTCATTCTTTCAACCCTAAGGCCCAAACCGCGTTCGTTGACTCCAACTCAGGAGCACAGGAAGAAGTGGGGTCTGTCCAGCCTGCTGTGCTCCTTACCTGGGCAGTCTTATCTTCTTGCCATGGCCCTGGCTGTTGGGCAGGACCAACATCTGAGAGAAAAACACACTGAGGCGGGCAGCACCGTACGTAACCTTCTCACCTTCAAGATAAGCTAAGGCTGGGTGCTCTCTCTCCTGCATTAACTTGTCCACCATGTAGTTGTTTTGTTTTTTTCCTGTTTGGGTTGTATATTCAATGTAAATACAAATAAAATAATCAAGAAAATCCTCTCTAAAGACGCAGCCCTTTAGCCTGTGCACGCAGGCTCTGGAAGTGGTGCTGGCGGGGATCTGGCGGCGAGATGCTGGGAGACTCTGCAGACACTTGGAGATGACTTCATGCTGGGCCGCCCCAGCGCGCTCAGTGGCCTGGCACTCCCTCCAACACAGGCTATTTCCCCAACATCTGTGTGCCGCTCCGGTCCTCAAATGCACAAGTCAGATGTATGTTGTGTGAGTAAAGGATCAAAGGAGTATTTGCACTGTGTATGTGTATATATAAATTAATCTGCATGTACATAAACACTAAAGGAAAAATTCCAAGTGCCTGTTCTCTGAAGGAAGGAGTCAACTACCGTTCAGATTCTGGGGGATTCCTCAGGCTTTTGGGACCAAATAGCTCCCACCTCCAAAATGGAAAGGATACAAAAATAGGTTGCAAAACTTGCCAAGTGGTCACAGGTCATCTTTTTGAGACAAATATGAGATGGCTTCTATTGGGAGGGCGGGGAAGGGGGCACTTCAGAAGAACATTAGTTTAAGGGCTTTTGGTTCCCAAAGAAAGCTGGCTACTGGAAGGCAGAAGGTGCTACCACTGTCCCCCTCCTCTGAGCCAGACCAGTGAGGTGCCCTGCCCAGTCTGGTTCCCTGGGTGGGGTGGAGGAGAGGGCAGAGATTAAAGTACCACCGTGATTTCTTGCCCAAAGCCCTGCCCTCTCTCTGGGGTCCCCTAGTGCTGCCCACCCAGCCTGGGCCCCAGAAGAAGTGCACCCGCGAGGCCCTGGGACATGTGGCTTGGTGCTTTGGGAACCAGGTGGTTTCTAAGGGGGCGAGAGGAGTGACAGGTGATGCGTCTTCTGCTGCCCCCACACTACCTGCTGCTCTCAGAGAACCAGTCTCGGGAGAGGAGGGATTTATAGTCTCTACAGCTTAGCAAGCACATTTTCCCGTGTTTCGAAGGCACCTTTTCATGTGATTTTCTCAATTCAAAAATGGATATGAGGGTTCAGGCTAAAGTAGATAGAGATCGTGTTTCCAAGTTTGGGGATGTGAAGATGGAACATTTAAGAACATCTTCACAGTGATGTCTAGTGCAGCCCAGCACACCAGCTGGGCCCTTGGCACGGAAGGGCAGGGGCAGTTTCGGTACTTTGTCAGGAATCCCCACATGTGGGTCTTTGTGCTGGAGGCACCCCGTCTCTGATAACTCTGCAGTCCCCGGATCCCTTCAGTCCTCACTTCTGCTACCAGGCAAGCATGGTTCTTCCTTCACGAGCCATGTGAGACTTTAAATTGAGTGTGGATAAAGTGCTCTGAAAAAGGTAGTGGCCAAAACTACAGGCCATGGTTATACACCTTCATTTGCCCCCTTCCCATTTCCTTTTTCAATTTTCCTCTCGTTCTCAAAGTGGCTAGATGGGGGTGGGAAAAAAAGGCAGGTACATAGGTCAGTATGTGAGGCTTAACAACAAATGTTTCTTTAGTTAATCTGATAACTGAAAAATTAGGGTCCATGATTCACACTCCCATGAAAAAGCAGAATTACTAAACCAACTCAGGAAAGCAGTAAGCATCAGACACTAATCAAATCACCAGTCTAATTTTTAAACTGAGGGTGACGGCGGGTTCTGTACCAATTGTTCCACATGGCAAGGCAAGCCTGGCATAAAACACTGCTGGCTACTGCCCAGCATGGAGAGGTCTCTTCAAAAGTGCTGCATTCCTTGAGGAACGAAAAACAAAGCAGGGCCACAGGGGCTCTGGACATAGCTCTGAGTGCAATAAACTTGCACCACCAGAGTGCGGGATAGGGGGGAGGTGTGGCTCCAGCAATCCCCAGAGAACAGTCACAGGGCATTTTCAGAGATGACGTAAAAGACAATGTGCTGTTTGCTAATCACAGTTTCTATGTAATGAAAGTGTTTATAATCTGATGTTTTATTAAATGTGTATAAGCGGATGTATATCTTAAAAAGTTGATTCTGTGTTTATGAATATGAATTCTGAACTATTTTGGAAGGCAGAGGAAAGGTCCTACATTGTGGGAGGAAGAACTGACAAGAATCCTGTTCTCCCGCTTGCTCGGTGATGGTAGGCCGATGGTGGTGGTGGCTGGCGGGCTCTGGGCTGGCTGCGAGGCCATGGACACGCTCTCGGATGGCCAGCGTCCGGGCCTGGGAACAGCAGCAGGCAGCAGGGTCAGGTCTGGCCCTTCCGTGCAGCAGGCAGCATCCCAGACTGGCCAGCCCTTCACAGTAATCGGTTCACATTCAGTCTATTTCTGAAGAAAAGACACACGCTGTCACCTCCACGTCAGTCACTCCTCGTACAGCCCCCAAGGCAGCCTGGTACTGGCCAAGCCATGGTGTCACTGGCTTTGGGGACCACTTACCTCCATGTGCAGTGTCTTCTGGCAGGCTGCTCCTCCCACTCCCCAGTCGGAGGGTATGTGCAAAAGCACCTGTGGGTTACAGACAGGATGCTGCCTAAGTCTGGCAAGGCCTTGAGACTACTCAGGGACCGCCGCCAAGCCCAGGGTGACAGCTAGAGCAGCAGCTGTCTTCTGCAGGCCCTCCTCTAACCTTGCTCGCCCTGGCCCAGCTGCCCAGGCCACCCCTCTGGAGCCCTGTCCCAGTGTGCCTCATCCTGCCCTCTCCCCCTCAGGCTCTCCAGAACACACTACTCTAATATAACAGCACCAGGTCTGGTTTCTGATATATATCCTAGTGATGTCTTTACTTCATTTATAGCTTCCAACCCTAAGTCAACCATTCAGAGGGTCATCACCTGTGGTGCTCACAGATTTGGCCCCTGCACTGGGCTGGCTGAGAAAGCCATGAGAGGCAGCTGTGGATGAACAGACAAGCCCTTCCTGTACCCCGCCGTTATCTGCCTGAGAGAGAAGGGGACAATGCCACAATGGCATGGCCACTCCTGTTTAGACCCACTGAGGATAGCACTTCATCCCATCTTCAGTTCAGCTTTTATAACATCGTTATTCAAACGTCCTCATCTCTCTTGAGCAGGATGTCCTGGGCTACTTGTAATCACAGGAAGCCCAGAGGTGGGTGCAGCCTAAGAGCACTTGGGCCAACTTGGAAAAGCCTCTCAGATGAGCGAGGAGAGACAACCTGCTCTGCTTCCAGCCACAGGAAGCCTCCCTTCCGGCACTCCAGCTCTTGGACACGCCACCCACCACTGTATGAAGCCGGCTGTGAGCTGTGGGGCCTGGAGAAAGGAGAGTCTTCCCCAGTGAGGACACAGCCAGAGTTGGAAAGGCCAGCAAGGGGCCAATATGTTTTCAGGGCCAGTGGCCCTATGTGCTTAGCCCCAGCTGCTGACCAGGGACTCTGGGCTCCACTGGGCGTTTGCGCCCACTGTGGGCTTTGCAGAGCAGGCCTCCCCCTACTCTGTGAACATGACAAGAATAGGCTTTCTTCACAACAGACAACATGGCTCCCCTCCAAACTTATGGGCAGAACTGGAAGTCTCTTTTTCCTTAAGTGAGGGGGCAACAATAGCACAACTATGTTTCAAAACTGTCATCTTCAAATGAGCTTAAAATACTCTGAGAAAGAACCGGAATTTTGTCCTTTTTACAGGTCTTAGGTGGAAAGTGACTGGGTGGAGGAGCTGGGATCTGCCAGGCCAAAGTAAACAAACAAATAAATAACGACAATGCTCAGCTGTGGTGCGGAAACAAGGTGACACCATCCAGGAAATGCTGGGGGAACTCTGAGAAGTGAGGGCAGGGCACTGTGCTTGGCCCTGGGGATGAGACCCCAACACAGGGCCCAACACTGAGGCTGCTCATGACAAAGTCCCCAATCCCACGGATGCTTTCTGGGTGTTTTTCTGCACCCCTCAAGCTGCTTTTTTGGGACTCCCCCAACACATCCCTTCAGCTTCTTGGTTGCTGCTCCCCTCATCTGCCCAACCTCTTGGACTCCCCCTCCTCTATCTGCCTGGTCTGCTCCTCAGTGCTTGCCCCCGGAAGGTCCAGCTGCTCTCCCAGTCCTACCCACCTAGCCACAGACGCCCACACCTCTCTCTCCAGTCCTGACCTTCTCCCAGACCTTCAGACTCAGAGCCAGTGCCTGCTGGAAAGGCCCCCACCGGTGGTTTCCGGAGGCTCAAAGGCAAAAGGTGCAAACTGTCTTCTCTTCCCAGACATGCTCCTCCCCAAGTTCTTTTCCTCAGTTAAGGGAACCACCATCAACCTGCTATTCAAGTTGGAAATCTGGAGTCATCCTTTCCTCCACTCTCTCTCTCAATCACCAAGTCCCCAGGTTTCACCTACTAAAGCCTTTCTGTTCCCTTCTCTTCAAGAGAATCAGAGTGACCTTTCCATAAAGAACTGCTGCTAGGCATTCTACACACATCTCATTTAATTCTCCCCCAAATCCATCAAATAGCCAGCAGCACCACTGTTGTACAGAGTAAGATACTGTCATTCAGAAAGTCAAGTAACTCTCCAAGGTCACAGAGCTCATAAGTGGAGAACAGGACCTGTCTGACCCTCAGGCCCACGTCCTGCCTCTAAGCCATGCTTCCTCAGTTTCTACCATCCCAGCTGGCCCAGATCCTCAGCACTGCTCACCTGGAGGATGATGAAGGCTTCTTTACTGGCCTCCCTCCCTCTAGTCTTGCCTCTCTCAAATCTACCCACTGAGCTGCCCACAGGACCTCTAAAGCAAACACAGGTGACTTTATCATCCAGAAGCATCAAAGACCCAGGAGCCTCAGAGTTGAAGAAAAGCTCTGTTCGAAACTCGTTTTCTGCTTATACCTGTCCAGGAAAAGAGGTAACCACACCTGAAATTTAGTGGGAAAAAGTACCTCATATGTACCCCAGCGCTTATATTTCTTTAAACATTGGCCCCTAGTGAGTCTTCACTCGAATTGCTTTGCCAATGTTTTTAATCATTAAAAGTTGACTATCATATGCTACCAAAGAATTATAATAAAATTTTAATTAAAAATCATAATAAAAAAATTGGTCTGCATGCTAAATGCCCTAGCCCCAGAAATCCATGCTGTTTTGCTAGTAGATCCAAAGCCCAAAAAAAAAAAAAAAAAAAAAACTGTTGCCACCAAGTCAATTCCAATCCATAGCAACCCTACAGGACAGAGTAGAACTGCCCCATAGGGTTTCCAAGAAGTGGCTGGTGGATTTGAACTGCCAATCTTTTGGTTAGCAGCCAAGTTCTTAACCACTGTCCCACCAGGGATCCTAGATCCAAAGCCAGGAACAGGTATTGCACGGGTGGCAGGCCCAATGCTAGAGAAGGCTCCCAAGCTCCCCTGCAACTGGCCCAGTAAACCTAAACCTTGGTGCCACATGGTGCTCCCCATGAAGATGTCACTGACTCATGCCCCCTGCTCTGTTTCCAAGGGCCTTGAGGAAAAACGAAGTTGAATCCAGAAACAGCAGACCCCAGAACCAGCTTCTAAAGGCTCACAGGCCAGAGAATCTGAGAACGCAAATACTTCATCAGCTTCCACAGCCTCCTGTGAAAAACTAAAGTGCATCTCTCCTGACCACCCAGTGAACGGGCCTCTAATGAGGAGACAAATACTGGAAGGGTATGGACGGGGAGAGGCTGGAAACTCAACTGGGGGTCAAGAACCTAGAAAATCAACACCTGATAACTTGATTTGTCTGTGGTTTCAAAACTGTGGCTTCAAAAAAATAAGCTAAATTTAATTTTCAGGTACTAAAATTCCATGATCCAGAGAAACTGAGGAACAAAATTCAAGCTTTTGATTCCACATTCGCCTAAGTGGGAAGGTTATTTTCCATTATGACAAACGTTTCTTCTGCATCAGGAAGAACAATAAAAATGCAAAATACAGGATTTTCAGGATTAAAAACAAAAAAAAAACCTTCATCCATCTAAGGACGATCCTTCCTTTTGTTCACCAATCTGAGTTGAATTTCTTCAAAAGTCCTGTTTCTCTCTCCTACCTAGTGGTTGTGGTTCTACCCGATTCAGATGATATTTTGACCTTTTGCTTTTCTTTGTGCTGTCGTTAGAATCCTCTCTCCTACTGCTAAGAAACCTCTAGAAAAGCTCGGACCTCTGTAGGTTCACCATGTTGTCTTGTACACAAGGTTTACAACAAACCAAACCAAACAACTTCCAACCCTTCCTTTATCATGTTACACTCCAACTACTGCCACTGTCAGCTGACCCCTCAAGAGGCAGGCCGTTGGTCCTGCCATGTGATATGTTCAGCCCTGCCCTTAGGGCCCTCTCCCCTTACCCACAGAGGATAGCCGTGGTTCCCACAGATTCCTTACCTAGCTGAAGTCCAGCCTGGGGACTCGAGGTGTCGAAGGGCTCTGAGCTGGCCTCAGGGGCACTGGGCTCCCACGACTCACTGCTCTCGGACACCTCTGAATAGGTGTCACCCATCCCTTTGTGAACTGCTGCAGGCTCCCCGGCGCTGAGGCCCTGGTCCTCACTGCCCGTGTCCGCCACAGCCCGGGTCTCCTCGCCCATTTTCTCAGCAAACCACTGCTTGACCTGCTGCGAGTTCATCTGGGTCTTGTCGCAGAGGCTCTGCAGATCCTCCTCATACAGCATCTTGTGCATCATGTAATAGTCTTGCAGCAGCTCCCGGTTGCCGGGGGCTATGACCAGCAGCCCTGGAGGGAAGTTGCCCCGCTTGTAGTCTTCGTACCACTTGAGCTGGCCGTTCTTCAGGGCGTACCTGCTGTCCCCGAACCAACGCACCACCTCCGACCGCGGCAGACCTGTCTGGGCCATGATGGAGTCATAGTCCTGGTTGCTGGGCCACTGGGTATGGACAAACAGCTGCCGCAGCAAGTGCCGCTGCTGGGCTGTCTTTCTGTAGCTGACCTTGCCTGGGGGCTGCTCTGCCAGCTTGCTCGCTCCATCATCCTCGGACTCACAGGCGCCCAGCCCTGGGAGCTCGTTCTTGCCATTGGCCTCTGTGACCCGCAGGTTCTTGAGGTTAATTTTGATGGGGCTGACTTTGCGCTCTGCCAGGGAGTGGCTGCTCGACACTTCCAAGGAGCCGTTTTCACCGGCAACCCTCAGGTCACTGAATGGATCCTCCTCCCCACCCTCATCCTCAGCGGCCTCCTCTTCCTCCTGAGAGGTGTTATCAGCCTTCTTGGTCTCCTCAGCATTCACTTTTTTCCGTCTCTCTGAAAACCAGCTGTCAATTTCTCTTCTGGTCATTTTCGTTTCACTTCTCAGGCGGTCCAGTTCCTCATCAAGAGGAAGGGGGTTTTGTGCAAAACTGCTTTCCAGGATTCTGAGCTGCTCGGGGGCTCTTTCTTTGTATTTGGTTGGTGTGAAGTCAGGGGTCTGGTGCCAGGACTGTCGTTTGACAGAAGGGTAGGTTACTAGTGTGGCCGCTGTAGGGATGCAGGTTGCCTCAGGGGCCTTGGACGGTGGGGCAAAGGGCACCTCTGGGGTGGAGTCCATGATGACAGTGCCGTGGTCACTGGGCATCATGGGTCTGGAGCCCTTCAGATTCCGGCAGTGGTAGCGCCGGTCACTGAACCATTTCCGTACCTCTCTGGTACTGAGGCCAGTCACTTTGGTCAGATGCTCCACTTCGTTCTGTCCGGGGAACTGGTTCCGACAGAAGCTACCTTTCAGAGCTGACAGCTGTTCATGAGATTTCTTATTTTTGTAGATGCTAGCATCAAGGAAGGCTTGGGAAGTTATGCTGGGGCACGCTGTGAGGAGTGACTGGGCCGTGTTCACCACCTTCACAGCCGATGACGTATTTGAACACACAGTGTTAACAGGTGCAACGGTGGGCTGTTTGGGGACAGATGTGACTGCTAGGGGGAGAGATGAACTCGTTGCTTGCAACCCATTGGCCATCAGTGGCTGAGTGACCAGAAGTCCCCCTGCTGTGCCCTCTGGCTGTCCCACAACATGACCTGGTAGCGCAGCCTGGATGAGATGTTGGACATTGCCAGCATTGGCCACCAGGGGGGTATTTAAAACAGTGATTGTGGGCTGAGGAACAGACTGAATGACTGTATTGAACATCTTTTTCCGGGCATCCTCAATCTCCTCAGGGGACCAGCTGATACCTTGCTTCAACCTTTGGGCTGTGAACCAGATCTTGAGCTGTTCTTCTGGGTACTTGGTCACCACAGTCAAATAGCAGAGCTCGGCTTTGGTTGGGTAAGGGAACTTGTGGAAAGAGTTCTTCAGGAAGCTGTTGGAGTCCATGGCCGCATTGTACGTCGGAATGCTGCTCAGGGGGATCATCACTTTGGGCAGGGACTTGGACGTGGGCAGTGGCTGGTGGGTATGATGCTGGGCATGCTCTGGGGGCTGCTGCTGGAGGGAGAGGAACTGTGCTATACCAGCCGGCAAAACCGGAACTGTTCCTATCAGGGGCCCGTTGGCTGCATGGGGGGGTTTTGCCGAGCTGGCAGATGCCTGGCTAACTGGAACTGCCCCATTGATGGAGTTATCACCCTCTTTCACCTCTGTTTCCCCAGCTGAAGGGTTTGGTAAGGCCTCACCAACGGGCTGATTGGGGACGTTCTCCTTGAGCGTATGAATTTTTTTGGCTTCAGCTTTGCCTTTCATTATCTTCATGATTGGAGTTTTGGTAATGATGATTTCAGCCTGTCCATCGGTCCCTTCAGCATTGGGCTCCCCAAGTAGGTCAGGAGTGCTGGTGTTCTCGGGGATGCTCTGCTCCACAGCTACATGATTGTCTGGCTTGGCCACATTCCACACAAAGCTGGCTTCCCCCGAGTGACACTTGGCGTTGTGCAGGGAAAGCCCTTCGGGGGTTTTTGCCAGAAAATTGCATTCAGTGCATATAAAAGTTGGGTCTTTATTAAAGTCTGTGTGCTCTGAGTTCATATGTCCCACAAATTGGGTTATGTCCTGGGATCTGAAGTCACAGTATTTACAGGAATAGGAGTACCCATCCAATGTGCTCCGATGCCCATTGGCCAACGTAGTGCTGTTGGTGCTGCTGGTGTTCTGGGCTGCCTCGCTACTAGCAGCAGGCACTTCAGGGAGCAAATCCTGCTGGGGCCCTTCAGGCAAAGCCTCCATGGGCTGGGCCTCCACACTGGCATCCTGCAGTACCACTGTCTTCACGGGGATCATGCACGGCGTGGTGGATTTCCTCTTGCTGGCCATGGCAACGATCGCTCTGGGTGCTCAGCCTTGAGAGCTCGTCCCAGCAAAGGTTTCACAGTCTCAGCTCCCGCTGCACCATGAGGGCCAAAGAAACTGTTTCCAAGGGCAGCTTTTTCAGTTGTTTGCAGAAAGCAGCTTTTCCTTATTAAACCTGAGGAGGAAGAAAAAACAATGATTAGAGCCTCTTAAGCTCTGTCTGTGCATTTCTTAGCTACCCAGACACACTCCACTGTGGGCCTTGTATCATCTAGGTCTTTTTGCAAGAAGTTTATCAGCAGCTTGGATGTGAGGTCTGGTTCAGGAGGCCTCCAAACTCTAACAAAGCAGTGCCCTGAAGAATGCCCTGGGATATTCTAGTACCACTTAATAGACTCGAACCATGTTTTTTGGTTTTATTTCCCCTATAGGGTTGCTGTGAGTCAGAATCGACTTGACGGCAATGAGTTTGGTTTTTGGTTTTTTCATCCTTGCTTTACAATTTCAACTCAGAGTGAAAACAAAACAAAACACCCTCTTTTGGGCCTTGAAATTAATTCTGACCATGTCAGAGTGGGAACAAAAGATCCTAGTGTAATTTTCGTTTAGATGTTTGAGCCAACAAGCGTTTTCCTTTTCATAGCCTTCCCATATATGAGAATAAACCCATTGCCATTGAGTTGATTCTGACTCATGGTAACCTTGTGTGTGTAAAATAGAACTGCATTCCATTGGGTTTCAAGGCTGTGACCTCTTGGAAGCAGATCACCAGATCTTTCTTCCAAGGCACTAGTTTGCGATACACAAGGACTGCCTATGAGAATAAGATGCCACCCATATCTCTTCCCAGCCAGGCCCAGAGACCAAGTTAGCAGCAGGATCAATGGGGGACTGGCAGCTGCTATGGAAGCCAGGCCTCTCTCTGTGGCCCTTCCCTGCCTGCTGTCCTACCACAACTGCTCCAGACCATGGGGATGTACCCTGGGCCACTGTCATTCAATTGAAGCCAAAGGTCAGAGTGCTGAGGGATCCACAGACCCAGTCTGCAGCCCAGCCAGCTGAGCATTCTCTCTCTGGGTGCAGCTCCAAGTCCAGCCTCACATCGAGTGCGCATACCTCACGTGGCTTTGTATTGTGCTTATTTTTTAATTTTTACTTTCTTTCAGTTCTTTTAAAAAAGAAAAACTCTTAATCTTTGATTCATCTGAAATTGATTTCAAAAGCTGGAGTAATCAATTTCCTTAAATGTAAAATAACTATCATAATAATTACTTCATGAGATGCCATGATTCCGTGTATTTCAGTGATTCCTACTATTAATATTAATATCATCATAAGCATCATTACCTTTCTTTTTAGCAAATTATAATGCTGCTAATGACTAAAATAATAGTAATTCTAATACCAAAATCAAGTTGTCAGCAGTGTCTGGATTTGATACAAAAATGTAAAAATTACATTTAAAATTAAACCAAATATCTCTATTCAAATTCTCAGTAAAGAAACATACAAACTATTTTTTGTAAGCCTAACCCTGATGATTGTAATAATAAAAATAATTTCTATTACTATTTTAAAAAGTTGAGGTAAAATAAACATACACCAGATCTAACCACTTGTCTATTTCCCCTGATTTGAAATGTCATGCATTTTTACTTATTTGTATTATAAAAATAAAACGTCAATATTCAATGAAATTTGAGAAAATAAAACCATGTATAATTTTTGTATACCCTTCCACGTAGTCAAAATATTTTATACATATTTTTTAATTATAATGGGCATACTTATGTGCTGTTTTTTTTAAACTGAACATTACATCATAAACATTTATCACATAAGCTTCACAATTATAATATCTGACAGCTGCTAATAATGTAGCTCAATGGACTTAAACTACCCCTCACCCCCACTGAACAGGCTGCTTGCCCAAAGTCCACTCTCACAGGCGACAGTGAAATGAACACCTCTGGCCATATAGGACATCTTTCTTCTATCAGGTTATAGCTTGAGGCTAAGTGCAGAGAAGTGGGTTTACCAGCTCACAGAGTATCAACATTTCTATGCTTCTTTCTATATAATTGGCAACACTTAAAATCAAGTGCTTTACGTTTCTGAATCAGGAAAACTGAGAATAATAGTTATGTTCCCAGTGCGAAAAAGAATCGGCTTTTCCGACAAGTCACTGAGACAATGTAGTCGCAATATCTTTCCACGTCATCATCTATAGCTTTACCGCAGTCGTTTAAACCGCTGCCGTGTTCTGACGTTCAGATGTACCATAGTTTACCTAACTGCCTCCAAAAAAAAAAAAAAAAAACCCATTGCCATCAAGCCAATTCCGACTCGTAGCAACCCTACAGAACAGAGTAGAATGGCCTCACAGGGTTTCCAAGGAGCAGCTGGTGGATTCAAACTGCTGACCTTTTTGGTTAGCAGCAGAACTCTAAACCACTGTGCCAGCAGGACTCCTGTTACAGCCATTTGCATTTTTCTAGTTATCAACAGTTACAAACAATGCACATGTTTTTGTGCATTTGAGAACTTCTGAATTTCTCACAAGTGGAATTGCTTTGGCAAAGGGCATAAACATATAAAGTATTGTTAGCAAAATACCAGCCTGTCTTCCAAATATATTGTGCTGATTTTTACTCTCTCTACCAGTGAATGGGAGTGCCCTCACTATCACTGGATATGATGAACATGTTCAGTGTTGGTTAATTTAATACATTAAAAAACTGGTCACTATCATGTTAACCTGCATTTCTTTTTGAGTGAAGCTGAGAATCTTTCCAGACATCATTGACCATTTTGTAATAAATGACCTTTTGTCCAGTTTTCTATGGGGTTTTAAGAGTTCTTGATATATTAAGGAAAATGCTTCCTCATCATCTGTCACAGACAAAGCTATGATTTATGACATGATTGCAAAGATGTCTCAATATTAGGAAATCTCCAATATAATTAATTCCATTAATAAAGACGCAAAACCAAAACAGTATTTAATAAGATTAAATTCTCATTCTTAAGAAGATTTAGGAAATGAAGAAAATGTCCTTAGATAGATATACGGTATCTACAAGAAACCACAGCAAACATTGTATCTAATAGTGAGTGAAACATTCCCATCAGGGACAAGGTAAAGACTCTCACTTTCATTATTCAACATTGTAGTGGGGGTCTTTGACAGCAAAATACAGTAAGAAAAAATTATGATGAATAGACAGTAAAAAAAAACAGAGACAAACCAGCAATATTTGCACAAGGGGATTGTCTAATGAGAAAATTCACTGAAAAACTATTACAGCTAAGAGAGTTGAGTAAGATGATGAGACACATTAGCAACCCACACAATTCATTAACTTTTCCATATACCAAAAACAACCAATTGGAGAAGAAAATTGGAGGGGGGGTGGGGTAGTGATCCATTCAAATTAACTACAAAAGCTGGAAAAGACCTCAGAATAAACCTTATTAAGACACCTGTGGGCTCAAACATAGCAACGATTGTGAGGATGGCGTAGGACCAGGCAGTGTTTCCGTTCTGTTGTACACAGGGTCACTATGAGTTGGAACCAACTCAATGGCACCTAACAACACAATAAGACACGTATAAAATCTATGTGACAATAACTACCAAACTGTAATAAGAACAAAAAAGACGACAAATAAATGGAGGGTCATAGCATTTTCCTGGAGGTAAAGACTCAATAGCATACAGAGGCTAGGTCTCTCTAACCTCTAAATTCAGTGCAATCATAATCACAATCAAATGTCATCAAGCAGAACAAATATTGTAAAATGTCAATGGTAAAATCCAGGTGGTGAGTATATTGACATCCACTCTAAAATTCTTTAAACTTTTCTGTGTGTTTGAACATTTTTATAAAAAAAATTTGGGGGAAATGGCATCAGGACTTATACGGAATTTGACAAGTTGAATCTGAAATTTCTCTGGAAGGATAAAAAACAAACTAGCTTTAAATTTTTTTGAAAAAGAAGAATAAAAAGAAGCTGCTTTAACAGGCATCAAAATACGTTTTAAAGCTTAAATAACTAAAATAGACTACTATTGGTACAAGAATTGATAATGGATGAATGGATCATCTAGGTAGATTTTGTTTATATAGGTTTTTTAGCATACAAAAACAGTGCTATTTTTAATCAGTTGCAAAAGAGAGACAAATGAGTAAATATTAGGACAACTGGGTTTGATTCCTAAATCACATCATAAAATACAATAAAATTTCCAAATAGATTTAACAGAGAAACAAGCAAAATTACAAATATAT